CGCAAATCAATGCAAACAACCCCAATGGAGGCGGGAACAACATTGACAACTCCAGCCAAAGGAACGAACATGGAAACCAACAAGTGACAACCTATCAAGGAACTCCAAAACCCAAGCGTAAGAGCAGGAAGCTGAGGTCTTGGAGTAAGGGAAAGGGACAACACACTCAAGGGTTCTCAAGGAAGCAACATGTTATTGTTGTTCATGCGACCATGACCCCTATTATACCAACAACTAGGAGACCATATGCTGGAAGCCTTCCAAAATGCAACCAGTGAAAATTCCATCATAACGGAGCCTGTCGGAAGATGCATTGTAACAAATGAAACCGAAAGAATCACACCGCCAAATTCTGTAGAACTTATCCATGTCATAATCACCAGCCAAATGAAAACGACAACAATCACAACAACCCTAACAACAACACCAATGATGAGACCAGTTAGACCTGCTATGGGTGTGGAGGAATCAGTCACTTCAGGCGCAATTACACTAGAGATAACCATCAAGGAGCAGAAGGATCAGAAATGGTCCTAACCTGGGGTCAAGGCGAAGCAGTCCAAGACCCGATGGTTGTTATTGGTACGTTCCCACTTAACAACTCTTTCGCTTACCTCTTATTCAATAGTAAAGCTGAGTGAAGCTTCATTAGTAACATATTCAAACACTTACTAAAACCACAACCCCGGAGGCTAAACTAAGCCTTAACGGTGGAGATAACTAAGTGGAAAACTGCATCAACCAAAAGATAATTATGTAGGAAACATCTTAACACTAAACAACCATTCATTTCAAATAAAAACTTAATGCCAGTAAATATTAGGAGTTTTGATGTGATAATCAGCATGGTTGGGTTAAGCCCCCACCATGTTGATATTATGTGTCGAGAGAAGGTCGTTTTCCTTCACCTTCCCAATCACAAAACTCTAATAATCCATGGTGATAAACCTAACGTCAATCCTCATCCTATCTCGTGCATCAAGGCACAGAAGTGCCTGCAGCAGAAGAACTACGTTTTTCCTTGCTCATGTTATGGACAAGACCAAGGAAGAAGTATGCATACAAGGTATTCCAGTAGCATGCGATTTTCTGAATGTATTTCCCGAAGAACTTCCGGGAATACCTCCAGAAAGACAGGTCAAATTTCAAATCGACCTGATACCGGGAACTACATCAATTGCCAATTCACCCTATAGGCTGACTCACGCCGAAAATTCACAAGTTATCAAGTCAATTGAGAATAATTTTTGCGCAAAGGATTCATCGGACCAAGCATCCCACCCTGGAGAGCTCCGGTCTTGTTCTTCAAGAAGACGGATCCTTTAGAATGTGCATCGATTTTAGGAAATTGAATAAGATCACTATCAAAAACCGATACCCACTCCCTCAGACTGACGATCTATTTAGCCAGCACCAAGGTGCTGGTTACTTTTCTAAAATAGATCTAGGAATCGGTTATCATCAACTTCGAGTATGAGAAGACAACATTCCAAAAACCGCCTTCCGAACTCGTCACGACCATTTCAAATTCATTGTGATACCCTTCGATCTAACGAATGCTACCACGATATTCATGAACCTTACGAACCGAGTTTTCCCAACCATTTCTAGTCATTCTTTTCATTATTTTCATCAATAACATACTCGTCTGCTCATGAAACAAGAACAAACACTGTTAACATCTGCAGCTGGCCTTGGAAGCGTCAAAGCCGGAGAATATCACGAAGAAAGCGTTGCATGGATCGATAAAACTCTTGGAGTTGAAAGACGAAGCTTATAGGTATGCGAGTTGAATTGGGCGTTATCTGGGTGATCGTCGATAGGTTAACTTGAACTGCCCATTTCCTGCTGTGACAACCCGATATTTCGAGACAATGAAATGTAACACCAGTCAAATATAGATAAAAATTGAACTTTCCTAGAATCTTATTTGGGTTAAATAAAGTATTAGGAATCGTTTCAAGGTTTTCATACATATAAAGAACCCTAAAATCCGAGTTATAACGAAGAAGTTATGGCCAACCGAAGATTCTCAGCAAAACTGACAATACTGATAAACGTAAAACGCGAAGTTTCAATACAATAGTTTTTGGCCTTAGGTATCTAAATGAAAGTTTTAGATATCATCAAACCGTAAACGTACACAAAAAGAACGTCCAAATTTGACTTCATATGAGGAAGTTGTGATTTTTATAAGTTACAGATATAACAGTAGACAGCTAAAAACTCGAAATAGAGATCGAGAGACTTTTAGCCGACACAATCTAAATGAGAATCGAAGGGCTCAACAATACTAGCGCAACGCTAAAAAGTATGATGAAAACGAACGTCAGATAAAGAAGTTATGGAACCTTAACGGACTTCTCCTGTCCCGACCTATTAAAAATAAATTCAAAACTAGCCTACGGAGTCTAAACGAAAGTTGTAGACCGTAGTCTCACCTTCGCGTGGATATAAAGAATGTCGAAAACGGAGTTCGTTTGAGAAAGATATGAATTTTTGAAGTTTGCTAATTAATTAAAATATAAATTTAATTAAAATCCGATATTATCCGAAGGAGGAATCATTGGACCAATCCAGGTTACGCCCCTCGTACCCTCGTACGCTCAGCGTACTCGGATGCTAAGCTCCAGTTTGTCCACATCGCTCTGATGTTTCGAGCGATGATGCGCTCATGCATGACGCATGAGTACGCCCCGCGTACTCTCATACGCCCCGCGTAACGAGGTCCTCCAGCCCCTATATAAAGGGAGCGAGGGTGCCGGCCATATTTGCTAATTTCCTTCCTTTCTCACGCCGAAGCTCTGCGTTTCAACCCTCGGAGCCATCCCAAAGGCCCGGTTTTCATATCCAAGTTGGGAAGAAAGTTTTACACTCCCGAGACTCCTGAGATTTCCCGAGAATCTCGAGAGATCCGCTTTCTCGAGTAGAAGTTCTACTCGGTTTTCGTCACGCTTTCTTCAATCAATCAAGTGAGTTCATACCCCTACAATTCGCACTTTTAAATGTTTTATAAATACTTTTATATGCTTTTAAGGGGGGAATACAACTAAAACACACGATTATTATCGAGTGTTATATAAAGTTTCATTATACACTTTTTATCAACGGAAATCATATCACTACTAGAAAAATAGCCTTTTACAAAGCTCATTGCGCGTCGTAAAAGGCTCAGACGACGCGCAAATGCGCGTCAAGGAAGGCCCTGTCATAAAGAGATACGACGCGCATTTACGACGCACATTTACGACGCGCATTTACGACACGCATTGCATATCAAGGAAGGCCCTGTCATAAAGGAAGATGACACGCATTCGCATGTCGTAACCTTACGACGCGCGTGTTAATGACACGCAATGCGTATCAAGAAAGCCCCCGTCAAGAAAGGCCATGTCGTAAATGAAGACGACACACATTTTTGCGTATCGTAATTTTAAAAGTTAAAAAAATATATTATTTGTAGATTTTCTAATTTTCAAATTAGATTTTCATTTAACTTCTCATATTATAAAATAAAATACCATATACAAAAAATATAATCCATTGCATAAAATTTAATTTCATACAAATAATCGATCCTTGGAAAGATAAAACATATCAATAGAAGTTGTTTTCTGCCTATACATGATTATCACATACTAAATAACAAGCTTTATTTCATATTCATACATATGATTATATTATTCATTAAACAAATATATACTTACATCTTCGCCTAAAATGTTATTACATGATGCAAGTTGGCCACTTCATTGATGGACCACCAAGAGGAAGACCAACAACTGCCCTAAATTTTTCCAAGATGTGCCCTTACTCATGTCCTGTAACTTTAAACATTTAATAAAGTCAAATATCTCGTAAAATAAAATTGCACAAGAAACAAAGACTGAAATTGGAAGAAGTACACTATAAATTTGTTTTACCAAAGAGTGGCATGAATGATCGGGTGCTACAAGTTTGTCCACGCTGCCAAACAAAGACTGCATGTGTAATATTAGTTATACACTTGTCTTCTTAGTTTCATTCACTTGTCTCTTTAAGTGAATGAAACAATATATCTGCAAGAAATGACAGGCTTCAAGAAATGTATAATATTAGTTAATGTCATAGACTGTAATTGGAATTCCACAAAATTACATCTATGTATAAGTGGAGTTTGTATCTAAAATGCACATGTTGCTTTCAAATGTAACACAAAACCAAAATAAATAAATAAAGTATTACCTGGACTAGTGTATAAGTGGAGTTAGTATCTTCTTTAGCAACAAAGGAATAAACATCTATGCTATTTTTTGCAACTCTACCACTGCTACTAAAGTCCCAATTAAGAACTTGAAGCATGAAATGGAGTGCAGTTGTACAAACTCTTGCTTCTGAGACAGAAGCATCAGAATTTTTAATTTTAGTAGTAACATTTTGTGCAGCCCCCAGTGCCCAACAATAAAAATTATGTGGAATTAACAGAGAAAAAGAATAAAATATGAGAAATTGGTTAGCAAAAAGATAATTTTTATAGGGTCCAATCATGTACAACTTTCAAAATCCTTTACATTTGAGTTTCTTTTGTTCTTTATACACTTGTATGAACTTCATACAAGTGGGATATGTAATCATTTTAGTGCAATGCCATGCAGTCCATCTGCTTTATATACTCAAAGTAGAAAACCTCATTCAAAAAAAAAAAAAAACCTAGGGGCTGTTTCTTTTTTACTTAATGAGCTTAATTGGTTAAGCACTTAAACTAGACAGATGACTTATTAGGTCAAGCAAAAAAATCTATTTGTCTTTTCGAATGTAAGGGTGAAATGGTCATTTAGTCTCATTCATACGGTTTATTTGGTTTGGAAACAGACATCATGTATACAATACTTTATCTAGAGAGACATCATTACCCATACAGGACATAATGAGAAAAGAAAATAAACAGCTCCTGAAAATATGTTGTTATAGGAAATGGTTTAATGAGATGATGATAAACAAAATGAAAAACCTTAAGATAATCAATAACATGATGGAGAAAATTCAGACACCTGCAACATTATTTTTTAGCATGAGAACTTTGTATAAATGAAAATTGGTACTCAATAACATGATGAAACATATACCAGTGACTCAAGGAAACTGAGTCCAATGAACTGCACTTCTAGTCCATGGTTCCCAGCAATAGCCATATTTATCTGAAGCCAACAAATTACAATTAATTTCAGGCACAAAAAAATGAAGTTTCCAGCTATGAATTAAAAATTATAATAATTAGTTTTAACAAGGATGAATTTACTTCAGGGACTTACCTCAGAGAAAAATCCATCCTTTTCTGCAGCAGTAAGTTCCAACCTACACTAGGGCCAGACAATCTGAAACAGTTAGCAATATTCTTTATTTTTTTAATGGCTAGTTAAGTTACAGATTGTCAACATCAAATAATTAACAGGAAGATATGTTGATGGTGTCTTATAAGCGAACCAAGTTTGTATGTTGATGGTGTAGTCTGAATTGACATGAGTGACCAATAGTATAAGGTCTAGACACCTGAGATGTTCTAAGGATGCTGTTTAGTTTTTGTAAATGATGGTAAAAGCAACCGCTAACAGGTAATAAGCCTGAAAACAAAACAAAAAAGAAGAAAGAAAAAAAAAAGTTAGCACAAACAACAGTCCTAGAAACAGAAGCAGAAGGAGAAGTATGGGGAAAGGGTAAAATTCACAAACCTATAAACAGTTCACTAATACACTGAGACCAAAGCAATCCTTCTAGGCTCTAGACCTATAAATATTTGGATAAAAAATTTAGTCAAACTAATGCACTGAAATGCAAATAGAATGGAAACAAAACAAACACAATATTAACTTGCAAGGCTGGAAGTTGCTTTCATAGCCCTCTGTTTTTCTTTATCGTTGTGTACACCCAATTTCACAACTACTTTCTGCAATTGGATACAAAGTAACCAACAAATAAATGTTAATCTCAATAATGAAAATAATGACGCTAAAAAGCATAAGTTTGATAATGGTTTTGAAGCATAGTAGTAGGATTTCTTCTGTGTATGCTCTTTATCTGTAACCACAAGGTTCAGAAGCAATTTTATTTTATTTTTCCTATTTTTGACTACAATTTTTGTACCATAGGTATGATATCAAGATAGAAACAATTTTTTCGTGGAATATCCCTTCAAATGTTGGAATGGTAAATTTAAAAAACCAATTAACAAAACTATTATTTGTTGGAATGGTATATGTAAAGAATCAACTTTTGTAAGTATTTAATTAACATGCTCTTTTAAAAAAAAGAATCAATTAACAAAAAGGTAAACCATATTTACAAAAAAAAAAAAAAGACGGATTGTAATCACATTCTAAAACTTCATGGTGTGAAAAAACAGGACGCCGATAACAAATATAACCACGAACGTTTTGAAAAACTGACTGTTGGCAAATTCCCTAACAGATTTCAACCCCCACAAAACAAGCCCTAATAATTCTGTTTATTCCTTAATAGAAACACTCAATGCAAAAAAATTTAAATATATGATGGTAAAAGAAGTTACTGAAAGGAAATAAGCCTCAAAGCGTAAACAAAAATTGCACAACCTTCCTAGAATCAGTAAAAACCACTATAATAGAAGGCAAAGTAGGAGAACACAAGGGGGGGGGGGTAGGAAACAAGGAAAGGGAGAAAAATGGAAATGTGAATTGTGTAATGTTAACTGTGATTCTGCAAATTAAAAGGTTGAGAGCATGAACTAAGAAGTGGAGAGCAGTCATGAGACCTGTACGCAGAAGTAAGGCTGCCATAAGATCATATACAAGACTGTGAATCATGTTGGAGAGTAAATCGGTAAATGTACTTCTATCTTCACGTTCGTTGTCCCAAAATTCTGGGCAATCGGCTCCTACTTTTTTCGTTTGCACCAGATCACCTTTATTTACCCTAGGAACGAGCACAACTCCAATATAACTCTCAGCTTCTAATGAACTCACATATCCTCTGTGTAAGGAAAATGAAATGACATTTTATGGTGAAGTAAAATGATGTTCATTATAAAATAAAGAGGTGGGGAGAGGAGATAACCTAAAGCAGAATCTGCAATTGCAAAACATGAGGATCTAGCTCCCCAAATTCCATTCCTTTGTAGCATTGCATCATTGTGTAGTCGTTGAAATAGGAGAAAATAAAGATACCTAAGAGAAAAAATGGAAGCCCTAATTATCAGAATTAACCAGACATACAGAAGAAACAAAACACAATGAAAAGGAAGAAGAAAGGTTCTTGTTCGTTTATTGGTTCCAGATAGGATGGGGACTTTAATTTTTTTAGGAGAACCGACGACAGAGGGTTGAATAGGGCCATAGGAGCCATTGTTACAACCTATCAATTTCATTCATGAATTATTATAGGAATAATACAAGAGGCGAGTGTCGATTGCAATTTCAAATGAAGTATTAAAAGATGCTAGACCAAAAACCTGATAGAAGTCGTCGGAGCCAGAACCAACAGAACTACCACCGAAGGTATTATTGACACGAATAGGGACAGGATATAATATGCGAAATAGGTTCACCTCGAGGTCCTCGTCTACCTGATTTGATTCGAGAGGCATGTATTCAACAAGGATTTTTGGGGAATTCGTAGATCCTCAATCCGGTTGTACCGGAAGAATAAAGTATAGCGGCGACATCGGATTGAGAAACGGAGGGAGACAGAGCGGCATGATGGTGGCGATGGCGCCAATGGATGTAACAACGAGAAATGCTAGAAGGAAGAAGATGGGTTTTAGGTTAGAGAGAGAGAAAGGAAGAAGAAGACCCTAGGCTTGTTTCATGCTGATTGGAAGCGGAGGGGGGGGGGGTTAATTCTTCACATAGGCGGGGTTTTAATTTTTGGGGATTTCATTTCCCGCTCAAAACGCATGTTTCATTAAAAAAAATATAAAGCAACACACTTACATGACACACACTTTATAATAGGCGCCCTCCGTATTTCTTTTTTTTTTCTTTTCTAACACTAATTTCAGGGCACGCACAAAAAGCGTGTCTTCTATCCTTCAAATTTTATAAGAGATGACATTACTTTTTGGACGTATGCTTTTGCGTATCGTAAATCACCGCGTGTCATTGTTTGCGCGTCATTAAAGGTAGTTTTTCTAGTAGTGTATGTGATTTATAACTATTATAGGGAAACTTTTATATGCAAAATATATCACGATAACATCATATTCTTGGAAATGAAAAATGTGGTTATATATGTTTATATTGGTACTATATAACTTATAACGTTTTCATAACAAGTGAGCATTTCACTAGGGATTACTATACAACCGAGACACACTTTTAGAAAACTATAATAGGTATAGTTTTACATGAACATCACGAACTTTTACATACTAGAAATACTATTTCAAGGAGATACATTCATAATACAAGAACAAACGAACATTTTCATAGGTACTTCAAATAGTTTTCACAAACGTTTTTACATGTTGAAACACTTTTTAGAAACTGTCTTACAAACTGTAGGTTCCTTTTGAATCTATATAGTTGTGCTTTCAAACAAAGGTTTTCTCACACTTAAATTGTTTTGTCAAACGGTCTTTCGAAATGATTTATAAACTGACATCACGTCATATATTCTTATTTATTAAACTACTCAAAGGTTTTACAAAACTTCTTTTATGCTTTTATATTATAAATTGCATGTCTCTATATGTATAGTTATATAAGAAATGTTTAAAAGACTTAGGAAGGCTATCCACCCTGTTTCCTTTTCCTCGATTTGGATGTGGTCTGGTGGGATATCGGGTACTCGTCCGAAGGTCGTTTAAATATTAGTTTTATATATATATATATATATATATATATATATATATATATATATATATATATATATATATATATATTATGTGTACATATATAGTCATAAATGTTCCATCAGTTATTTCAGTTCCGACACTCTTGAGTAGCAAGGGTGTACAAACTTACTTGGACACTCATCAATTACATTCTAGTAAACTATTATAGGAATAGTTTAGGGTATACAAGACGTTATCCCTATTACAAGAAATTACACCAGAGTCAGTTCATTCATGAGTCTAGCCTACATGCTATATGAAGGGATACTCTTACAGAGATTCCTCTTACATGAATACGTTTACAGAGATTCCACTTACATAAATACGCTTACATAGATACACTTACATGAATACGTTTATATAGATACGATTACCTGAATACGTTTACATAGATACGCTTAGATGAGTACATTTACATAGATAATATATGATGAGTTACTATTGCATATTATATGTGTAGATACTGTTATATAGTTCTCCTTCTCATCTTTACCTTGTGATACAATCACATCATCGACGAGATAGATTGGACTTTATATCCTAGTACCAAAGGATACTTTGTGGGACTAACCGTTCCTAGAACCACTGTTAACTACATAGGTAAATGAACATCTACGAATGTTTTTGGTTGATACCATTACATGTATACTTAAGGGACTAACTATTCCTAAACTCGGCTGTTAGCAACAGAGGTAAATGCACATCTACGGATGTCTACGGTTGAACTATTTACGGCGAGTTTCCACATCGTGTGTATCTTAGTACCCAAGGATACAACATAAGTTATTATATTATTATTATTTTTAGTTTTATAATAATAGTTAAATAGGGAAAAACCATCACATTTTCAAGTAATGCATACTTTCAAAACAGCCAGGTCTTGGTTAAAGACTACTTCCAAAACATTTGGGTCTTGGTAGAAGACTACTTTTTATACTAGTAGGAAATATGGGATTTTCTAGGGTTTTCATACTTATACTAAACGTTTCATAAAACATTCACCAGTCTTTCATAACAACTTTTCAAAGTAATAACACCGAAATACTTATGAACTCACCAGCTTAAATGCTGATCTACTCTTTCAAAATAACTTGTATTCTCAGGTCACCGGCAGACAGGTACGATGACCTGGTTTTAGAGAAGACGGAGCAGTCAGGACTCATCTTTCATTTTGATTAGTTATCATGTTGTCTTGTACTATGAAAGAACACACTTGTAATCAAAATTATACTATTAATGCAATGGAAGATGTTGTTGCTTATTTACTACTTTACATTTGTTGTGATACATTACATAACGTCCTCCGCCCCAGAACGTTTCAGCCGTTCTCGGTTTTGGGGTGTGACAGATTGGTATCAGAGCATTGTTTATAGTGAATTGAGTATATCAACCCATAAAAGATATACTCACTATAAATACAATGGGATTAAAAATACTCTGACTTAGAGTTTATACTTTTAAATAATAAAATCATTAATTAAGTATACGTGCCTGCATTCATACTAAAATCAGTGTCACAATGATAAGAACAAAAGTATTACGATTGTTGAATATCACAAGTAAGCTTGGGGATGTATGGTCAGTCCTGGGAATGGCATAGCCTGATCAACTATGTTGGTCCAAGGAGTGATTAGCATATACCCAAGAATGGTTGTGATGTGGCAACAAGTCTAAAAACCTACCAACACTACCACAATGAGAACATTATAACAGAACCTAAGTCTAAAATACTATAGGAGTGTTTTGTGTTACCATAATTACTTACTTGAGAACTAAAAAGGATCTTCAGTACTAAGTTGATAGTTTCTAAGTGGATACGCTAAGGCTATATGTAACTAGGATGTTATAGACTTAGAATCGTGAAGTTTTGCTTTACCCTTATTCCTTGTGAATTTGGAGTTAAGGTCACTTATTCAAAAGCCTATCCTGTGTTGATTACATATGATTGGTATGCACTTTACAAATAGCGATGTAACTAATGAAGATTCTCTAATAATTATCTAGATAGTTCGTCTAATAATTATTTCCTTACCCTAATTCTCACGTAGATAACATAACTGGACTCCATCCCCACGGCAACCCATACCTTCCGAACAAAGACAATGCTAGATGGTTTGAAAAAAAACTGAAGAGTGATCATCCAATCCCTTAAATGATCACCATGCTGAAAACCTTTCGGATGTTGATAACTCAAAACCCGAGGTTGAGAACCTACCCCAGACAGCTCCCGTTCCAATTCCTAACCCTTGTCCGACTTTTTCATAGCCCTATGCTCTTGGGTAGAATGCTTGGAAACATGGAGCGAAGAGCAAGATTAACCTATGCTATTTAATGGATACCGAAGCTTCTACCACTCAAGCAAAGGAATCTCAACAGACAGAGTTCTACAAATCCTAATCCGTAGAGTTGCCCGAAACGAAATTCAGGGCAGGATGACTTTTCAACATATCGAAGAGGTTAATACCAATGCAAAAATGCATACCATTCGCACCAATTGCCTTGATCACCAGTGAGAGATCTGAGAGAAACCATGAGACCCTGCTGCAAGCACTAGCTAAAACCTGAGCCGAAGTCATAGAGATCCAAGTACGCCGGAGGGTGTACGAGAGATACCTGCTTAATATGAAACATCAACTAACCAAACTAAGGGTTCACCATAGGGGTGATCGTCGCCAGTAGGAGATACCTTACTTCCTTCTTTGTTTTAAAGAATCGTGTTCCTATCTATGTTCTGTGTAGTACTTTTTATGTGACTACCTTGTACTATAAGTACTTTTAGTTTAGTCTTTATGCTGTCAAATACTTTTCTACTCCGAATATGATGTATGACCTACAACAAGGTCAATTCCCCCAAACCTATTACATCTTAAACATCAATGATATCGAAAGTCGACTAACTTCCGTGTTACTCTTTGTTCAAATACCTTTATTTTACTACCGTTGGAGTCTATCTGAAACCCCATCTAGTCAAGTTATTGGACTATGGTAATTTAACTCCAAAATCATTTTCAAGCCTCTTTTAAAGGTTGGATCATATTATCCACCAACCTATAATACCTCGGCTTGAACGATAAACGTTTAAAGAGCATTCTACAAACATACTTCTACTCTGAACTAGGACTGCATCATAGGGATGTAGGTCAAACTATCATGAACATACTTCTAATATGTACTAGGACTGCATCATAGAGATGTAGGTCAAAACTTCAAGAACATACTTCTACTCTTTACTTAAGAGATCGAAGTACATCCAGGTTCAACCATTCTCACTCACAAATTCATTTTCTTTCCATGTAACAGAATCATGTCGCCGAAGAAAAACGATCAACCCATCAACCAAACACCAACTCTTCAGATTGATGCAACTACCTTTCAAGCTGCAGTCTCGGTTGTCGTGTCAGCTGTTCTGACCCAGCTTAACGCTAACAACACGAATGTTAGCGGGATTGTTAAAAAATAACTCCAATCCAAGTAACAATAAAATACCTCAACGAGCAACAAACTACCACGAAACCCCGAATCCCAAGCCCAAGAATAACAAACGAAAGTTCAAGGCTAAAGCTAAAGGAAAAATCACCCCAAGGGGCGAGCAAAAGACAACAACATGTGGCAACCTTCGCAGCCACGACATCTGTACCTCCTACTACCATCCCTTCTGGTATCCCAATTGTCCCTACACCAGCTAGGCAATATGCCGGAAACCTACCGAAATGCAATAAGTGCAACTTCCATCATCTGGGTAGTTGTCGTCCGTTACACTGCTTTAAATGCAACAAGAACGGATATACTACCAATTGCTGCCGGACTCGGACCTAACACATTACTTCAAACACCAATGTTGAAATCTCTCGAATATGCCATCTATGTGGTGTAATGGGACACTTCAAGAGGGACTGTCCAACAAAGAAGGACAACAGCGAATCTGGAGGAGTTTGACCTCAGAATGGAAAGAAGCAACAAAGGACCCTACTATAGTATAGGTTCACAT